GTGGAAAAATGTGACCGGCTACAGTAAGTTTAAGTTGACCACTTTAACCTTTAGTCCACAAAACAAAACCAAAACCAAAAAATCAAAAAATTTGGAGAGAGACTCTTTCTTGTTGTTCGTTTTGTGATCATCGTATCGTATAGAACGGTTCCTCCATTTCCAGCGCCTGCGAAGGTAAGTCTCCTTCAATTCATCGGAAGCTACTCTCTTCTGATCCTTTTAAGATTGCTCTTTGAAATCTTTAATTGCATTTGAATTTGTTTAGGAATCAGTCAGCTCTCAGCTGTGTGTAGTTACAATCGATGGAGAATTATGGTTCGAATCCATCTTATTACCCTTATAGGCCTCCCCGGCCTTATCCTTACCCACCACAGCCTCATCACCATGGATCAATGTCTCATTCGGGTCCATTAGACTACACCCACCACCCTCCATTGAGTTACCAACACCAACCTCCTCCTCCTCCTCCTCCTCCTCCTTACCCACATGCTAGCTTTGGCAACTATGGTTCGTATCAAGAGCCACTCCAATATCCACCGCAACATAGTGCGGCTTCTGTTGGTATGAGTCCTGAGAATGTCAGCAGTAATGCTTCCTCTTCCCCATCTCTTTACCCTCCTCTCGATGAGCTTTTGACCGGTCTGACTGTTTCTGTCAATCAGCCAACTGTGCCACCGCCACCCTCCGCTCCGTATTTATCCTCCCATTCTTCGGGATCCTGGCAGGGGAACTTCTATCAACACCCTAGCAACTCGTTTTCAAGTCATTCCGATTTATCATACTCGGGCAGGCTGGATTCGTCTACTCATGGTTATACATCTACCGCATCGCCACATAGTCCCGGCATGCACATTGTGCCCTTTGGTAAAGCCTCCTTGAAGGTCCTCTTGTTGCATGGGAATTTGGATATTTGGGTTTCTTGTGCTAATAATCTACCAAACATGGATTTGTTCCACAAGACATTGGGTGTTGTGTTTGGTGGCATGAGCAATATGATCGAAGGGCAGTTGAGCAAGAAGATCACAAGTGATCCTTACGTTTCCATATCAGTTGCAGGTGCAGTCATAGGAAGAACATATGTCATAAGCAACAGCGAAAATCCTGTTTGGCAGCAGCATTTTTATGTCCCTGTTGCTCATCACGCTGCTGAGGTCCATTTTGTTGTTAAGGACAGTGACGCCGTGGGTTCACAGCTTATAGGAATTGTTACAATCCCCGTTGAACAAATATACTCAGGTGCAAGAATTGAAGGGACTTACTCTATTCGTGACAGCAATGGAAAGCCTTGTAAACCTGGGGCAACTCTATCATTATCTATTCAATATACTTCAATGGATAAACTCAGTGTTTATCACAGCGGAGTTGGTGCAGGTCCCTATTACCAGGGGGTACCTGGAACATATTTTCCTCTTAGGGAAGGTGGAAGTGTAACATTGTATCAAGATGCACATGTACCTGAAGGGATGCTCCCGGGAATAAAACTCGGCAATGGAATGTGTTACGAACATGGAAAGTGTTGGCATGATATGTTTCATGCCATTTGTCAAGCTAGACGTTTGATTTATATTACAGGATGGTCAGTGTGGCATAATGCCAGGCTTGTTAGGGATAAAGAAGATCCTGCTTCAGAATGTACTCTGGGTGAGCTCCTAAGATCAAAGTCCCAAGAAGGTGTGAGAGTCCTGCTTTTGGTTTGGGACGACCCAACTTCACAAAACATCTTGGGATATATGACAGTAAGTTACTAGAAACCTCAAGTCCCTACTTCTTTATTGATTGTGAAGTGCATATGTTAGTTACGCTATAGGCTAGAAATCAGACCATCTTTTAGTGTCTCGGAAGTCAACAGCTTTGGCTTCTTGAAGTCTTATCGAGGTTCCTTCCGCTTATTGTGAGCCTACTTTCCCTTGTAAACCAGATTTTTTTTTATGGGTTTAATCTTCAGTAAGTGTGAGAAGTGCCTGCTTCATGCAGAAATCTACTACTCAATAGAGATATATGTATCTTAGATGACATGGTTTAGATATTGTGATTCATGTATGTTGTAGGTATTGACACAGTTTATTCACTTGAACAGGATGGGGTGATGGGAACCCATGACGAGGAGATACGCCGTTTTTTCAAGGACTCCTCAGTTCAAGTCTTGCTATGCCCTCGAAATGCTGGAAAGCGACATAGTTGGGTCAAACAGAGGGTAGAACATGAATTTTTGGTCTTTTTTTTGGTTGAGGTATCCGGCTTCTATTTATATTTTAGTCCATCAGGAAGTTGGAACCATCTATACACACCACCAAAAAACCTTGATAGTAGATGCCGATGCTGGGGGTAACAGAAGGAAAATCGTAGCTTTTGTGGGCGGACTTGATCTATGTGATGGCCGATATGATACTCCTCAACATCCGTTGTTTAGGACGCTGCAAACCGATCATAAAGGTGACTATCACAACCCCACTTTCACGGTATGTCTGCTTGCCTTTCTGAACATATTTAATGTAACTTTGGTGTCGAATACTTAAGTAATTCTTAGCAAGGAATAACCTTTGGCAGTGGAAAAAAAATACTGCCTTAAACTTTATTAAGTGGTACTTCAATCTTTGTCTGTCTTCTCAAATTCTTGGTGATTACCTAGGTAATTCGTAGTTGCTAGTTTCTTTTGTTCTGAATGGGAAAGCCTTGACTTGGTGTACTAAAATGTGATTAAGGGTAACGTGTCCGGCTGTCCAAGAGAACCTTGGCATGACTTGCACAGTAAGATTGATGGCCCAGCTGCATATGATGTGCTGACCAACTTTGAGGAGAGGTGGCTGAAGGCTGCTAAGCCTCACAGAATCAATAAATTGAAGACATCATATGATGATGCATTACTAAGGATCGACAGGATTCCAGATATATTAAGAGTTTTGGATGCTCCTACTGTTAGTGCAAACGACCCTGAGGCTTGGCATGTTCAGGTTAGCACCTTGAAACTCTTATTGTATAAAATGTGATTGTCCATGAAAGATGCCCATCTCTCAGTTGGACCATGCAAATTTTATACTTTGGTCCACAAATATCATCCCAGTTGATTTTGTTTCTAAACTAATGATTGTCTGGTTTCTACTTCAGATTTTCCGTTCAATCGATTCAAACTCTGTGAAAGGTTTCCCAAAGGATCCAAAATATGCTACAAGCAAGGTGAGTTTGAAAAATCAAAGAAAAGTTGTGCTGTCATTACTCATTATAATATGGTGGATGCTTATTTGGCTGGGAAATTGATGGATAGAGGGATTTCGTTTGGACAGAATTTGGTGTGCGGTAAGAATGTGCTCATTGACATGAGCATACACACCGCATATGTAAAGGCCATTCGTGCAGCTCAAAACTTCATCTACATCGAGAACCAGTATTTCATTGGATCCTCCTACGACTGGAATGCTCACAAGGACATAGGTTTGTTATGTCTTTGTTTTTTCAAATGAGCTTGTGTTAGAAAAAACTCAAATTCTCAGTATTTTTCTCAACTTGAGACAATGGTCTTGGTAACTTCGGTCATTTCTTTAAGGTTGTTTATTCTATGTTGTGGTGATGTTGGTGCCAACAACCTGATTCCTATGGAAATTGCGTTGAAGATTGCTGATAAGATCAGAGCAAGGGAACGGTTTGCTGCATATATCGTCATTCCAATGTGGCCGGAAGGAGTTCCAACCGGCGCCGCTACACAAAGAATTTTATATTGGCAGGTAATTCTAGTGAAGATGCTTCTGTGCAAACCGTTAACCTTCTCTCTCTTAGCCCATGTGGCAATATTGATATCATGATCTTTTCCTTAATATTTCCATAAAAGTTGGTCAAATGATCATTTAAGTAGACACTAGTGAATATAATCTTGATTGTGTATGTTCTTAAACTGGTATGTAGTTGGGGAATTTTCAGGCACGTTTTGTTATAATTGAACAGTATGGATTAGCAATATGTAATTCTTTTACACCCCGATATGATGTTTTCTTGCGTGGACAATCTAGTTAAAAAAAATCATGGTCCTTCCATCACCGGGAGTTTGTGAAACTGAATGTCAGAGTTATCGTCTTTGCAGCACAAGACGATGCAAATGATGTATGGAACTATCTACAATGCGTTAGTGGAGGCCGGGCTCGAAGGTGAATACTCCCCACAAGACTATCTGAATTTCTTCTGTCTTGGAAACAGAGAAATGATGAACGGAACTAATGAATCGGGTACAGGAAGTGCAAGCAACGAGAACACTCCTCAGGTAACCAAACCAACTGCTTGACTTTGCTAATGCGGTTTCCATCGTCATTGAATGATGAGTTGTAATCGAAACGGTGTTATAGGCATCATGTCGAAAGAGCAGAAGATTTATGATATATGTTCATTCAAAAGGGATGGTTGTTGATGATGAGTATGTGGTAATTGGTTCTGCAAACATAAACCAAAGATCAATGGAAGGGACAAGAGATACAGAGATTGCAATGGGAGCTTACCAGCCTCAACATACATGGGCACGACGACAATCTGGTCCTCGGGGTCAGGTAATCGCATACAAAGATAATATACATATGATTTCGTAGTCCTAGTCATATCGAAAATACTTTGTACATAATTTTCAGATATACGGATATAGAATGTCGCTTTGGGCAGAACACATGGCGCTGCTAGATGATTGCTTTGTGGAGCCACAGAGTCTAGAGTGTGTAAGGAAAGTGAGAACAATGGCCGAGGATAACTGGAAACAATTTAGGAGTGAGGAAGTGTCGGATATGAGCGGACATCTGATGAAATATCCGGTGGAAGTTGATCGGAAAGGCAAAGTCCGGCCACTTCCAGGGAGCCAGGAGTTCCCTGATGTCGGAGGAAACATTGTCGGATCCTTTCTTGCCATACAGGAGAATCTCACAATCTGATCATAAGCAGACTCGCATTTATTTATTTATGAATTGCAGCTTGTTAAATTATTTGCGGCGTAAGAAGATCTTATAGGTGTAAACAACAATTGATCAGACTTTGTAAATAAACAAAGTTTGAATAACAAGTAAAAATTACATCAGCGAATACTTAGTCTTTGGTGAAAAAATAAACTACTTAATCCAAATTCTAATTAGAATAAGAAATCATGTATATGGAAACAACACATATATAGATTGCATCAGCCATGGCAAAGAAGCTTCAGGTGTCGTTGACAAGCTTTGGCCTGGCTGTTTTAGGATCAATTTCAACTCTGAGACCAATTTCACGGAGTTGAGGCACATCCACAGAGCCTTTAATCTCCAACTCAGCCACCACCTCCTGGTTTTCTGGGTTCCCTTCTAGCAAATTTCTCACACACCACAAGCCCCATTCTCTCAAGAACGGGTTCTCATCATCGGTCACACACTGCTGCAACATTAGGACGAGCCCATCTCTCTCCCTGATCTCATCTTGTACCTCTTTTCTTCTATACGCACAGTTCCCAATCACCGACACAATATCTCTCCTGAATCCTCTGTAAGGGCAGGGCTTAAATGAAGAAGAAGAAGTAGGACTCTGGTTTAGAGCCTTCTTTATAGTTGTTGGAGGATCAAGTTTGCGAAGCAGATCAAGGAGGAGCTCTATTAGTCCAGAGGACAAGAGCAACTCAACAGTATCACCGGAATCCTTGTTGTCCTTGTTGAGTTCTTCAAGGCTTCCTCCAGCGCAAGCATCCCTTATAATCACCAGAGAGTAGCCCATCACGTCTACTATAGTTGAACCCGTTGGAAGCTCGGATCTTTCACCCGAAACAAAATCGAAAACGTCAACTGATTGCTTAAATAATCCGAGAATTGAAGAAGCTGTATCCTTGGGGATTGCCACTTTTCCTATCCGCTCATTTGCAATATCAGACACAATCCTCAGAAGAAAGGCTTGCTCTGATGTAAATTTCTCATTTTCAGTATTTAGTACCGTTTCAACTTTGTATAACTTGGAGAAGAGCTTGGGGAAGTAATCGTCTTCGACACAGATTCTCGAAACCAGTAATTTGAGCCAATAATCCTCCACAGACCCAACTACAAACAATAACAAGATTTGGTTTTTGAATCAGACAGCAAATAAATCAATTTAATCAGATAAAAATCACGACTTTCAGATCAAAATGGCATTTTGGCTTCAGAAATAAGAGTTACCGGAAGATGAAGTCCGTAGAGTTTCAGCGATGATGGTGAGCCCTTCGCTGCTGCAAAGCTCTGAAGCAATCTCTGAGCTTCCATCAAAGCACGTATACAAAATCATACACAGAGGATCACAGGTTTCACGCCTCCTTATCTTAGCGATTGATAAGAACCTCTCCGGGAAAAAGCGGAGCCACACGTCTCTCTGACGTTTCTCTCCGAACAATACAACGTTCGCTAGAACCTGCAATCCGAACCTAACAGTTTCAAAATCCGTGATTTTCTCTGCAATGGCGGAATCAAGCAACTCGGAGACGATAACAGAACCGTCGTGATCGACGAAAGAGTTCTGATTCGAAACCTCGCCGGCGCATAGGTTGCGGAGGACTTTCAGAGAGAGATTTAGATAATGGCGGGAAGATGGGTAAGGAAGAAGCTGAAGAAGACGGAGGATCGACGGAAGGATACACTTGGAAGCGAGATCGGAACGGCCTGAATCGGTCTTGGAAGACTCTAGAAGAAACTTCAAGCAACCTTCTAGAGAGTATGATAAATCCGACGCATGTAGCAGCGGCTGAAGCACTTCTTCGGGTAGAGAAGCTTCCATTGATGACCAAAGACAAAAAAAGCTCAAGAAGAAGCTTTGCTTAGGGCTTTTCCGATATTTATCATTCATTTAGTAGAGAAAGGTCGGGGTGATTCTGTAAATAACATTAGTTGCGTTATTGGGCCCAAATTTTCTAATATGGGCTGATTCGCCTATAAGTTTAGTAGTTTTCATGTTTTTTTATGTTGAATTGAGTTTAGGAACAAAGTGAGATGATTACATTGAAGTAAAATGTTTGTATGAGGATGTGATTAATTTAATCAGAAGTAGGACTGTAGATAACAATGGGGCTCCGAACAGAGTGACGTGGGCTCTTCCACACGAGCAAGCCTGACACAATCTTCCCAGGAATCATTTGTTTGGCCTTCACCACCACTTTGAAGCTTCTCTTCTGTGAAGCCTTTGAAAACGACAGACTCCGTGGCTCCACCGTGATTTCAACTCCTTTCGGTGCCCTCACGGTGACGTTGTAGACCGACGACGGTGCTCCCACGTTGGTGACTCTCCGCCTGAACACGGCCAATGTGGACGTTTTGGCAGATCTCAACGTGAGTTGGATTGTTGGGTAGTTGAGGGAATCGTGGCCGAGTCCAGGGACAATGGAGGAGCAGCTCACGGAGCGTGACCCCACCAATGGAGCCAGAGTGGTTGCGTTGTAGCCTTCGCCGCACAAGAACTGAACATAGGAGATGTCGTCCATGTCGTAGACTAAGCCAGGGCTTGCGGCTCGTCGTGGGTTTATTTGGCCTCCCCCATAAGCGAACTCTGCGTCCTTGTTCACTCTCCGGCTTATCGGTTTTGCTGCCAAACAAACAGAGAAAAACATGTTGTTACTGCTTTCTATGCTTTCCGTTTCACAAGAACAAAAAAGTGGGTTACCTGAGGTAATGATGGCGGATTTGATGGCAGCGGGTGTCCAATCCGGATGAAAAGACTTGACGTACGCAGCTACACCAGCAACATGAGGGCATGCCATTGAGGTGCCAGACAGGATGGTGAATTTTGAGAATTGGGTGTCACCATCTAACCCAGTCAGTGATCTCTTGAGAGTGAAGGCCGCCAATATATCAATCCCGGGTGCAGCGATATCAGGCTACAATCCCCAGAAACATAAGATAAGATCCGCATTTATCATAAACAGATGACATTGATCAAGTCATATACCTTGAGAAGGCGTGTTGATCCCGGATTGGGACCTCTTGATGAAAAAGAAGCAACAAATGGAGCAGGGATTGTCACTTGCCTGGTTTTCTGAATCACAGCCGATGGCGATCTGGGAAAAGCAAAAACAACGAGTTAGCTCTGAACACACTAGTTCTTCTCAGGGTTTCCTCAGTATCCAAGAAAATCAAGGACCTTGTGGAGTTGATATATCGGTAGATGATATCGCCAACGGAGCTATTAACACTGGTGGCAGGTGCCATGAAAATCTGAGCGTTGTCTTGATATTGATCACTAACTATGATCGCACCAGCACCTCCATAGCTTTTAACAGTAGACTCCACACCACCTCCCCCCATTCTACACACCATTACCTTTCCCTTCACCTTCTTTCGGTCCAAAGAATCAGAGAAACAGTACCTTTATTAACATCAACAAACAAACAATGTCTGGGTCTTAATTACTCACACTCATAGGTCTTCTTTGCCTTAACATATTCAAATCAAGTTGATGATGATGATGTTACCTAGCCAAGTACTTATCGTCTGTGGTCTTAGCAGCATCAACGCCGCTTACAAGCGGATACGATTTGGCTTTGGGGTTAAACATGCTTATTCCCATCCCCTTTCAATCATCAAATTTTCTCATGTCAAACCCTAAATTGAATTTAGCTAATTAGGAGATTGATTTGAGATGCTTACAGAGAAGGATTTGCCGTTGCCGAGATCTATCTTGCTCTTGAACGTCCGATCGATTCCGCTTGCAGCAACCGTCAATATCCACGGCTCATGGTTCGTTACAGTGCCTGAGCTCGGTCCGTCGTTCCCGGCGGACGCCACCGTCAGGATCCCTTTCCTCATCGCGTGAAACGACCCGACGGATATCGAATCGGAAGAGTAATCGGCGATTGGACCGCCGATAGAGATGGATATAATGTCAACGCCGTCGTGAATCGCTGCTTCGAATCCGGCGAGGATGTCCATATCGGCACAGCCGGATCTCTCCCAACAAACCTTGTACATCGCCAACCTCGCCGACGGAACCGCGCCGCGGGCGGTACCGTTTGCTATGCCATAGAGACTCGCGTTTGCGACTAAAACGCCGGCTACAGTAGATGACGTGTGCGTCCCATGGCCGTCGATATCGATCGGTGATCGGATTTCGCCGGTAGGCACATTGCCGTCGTGCTTGAAGTACTTGGCGCCGATTATTTTGCTGTTGAAGTTAAATTGTGTAATTAATATTTAAAATTTTCAATCAAAGCCCTTATATTAATACATAATTCTTATAAATTCCCTAAACTCTTGAAATTGATCAGACAACTTCTTAATTGTTTTCTAACAATGACAACTTCTTTAACAGTTGCTTAGATAGGATCAAGATTCTTCTCTAGTGATCAAACTTGTAACTAAAATTGATAAAAGTAGAAAATGGTAATAGATAAATTTTTACTTGTTGCATCCGGTGAAATTTTTGTAAGGTCCACAAGATCCTTTCCATTTAGCCGGAGGAGGGCCTAGACCATGGTCATGGAAACTCTCTGACTCTGGCGTTATTCCTGATTGTTGTATTATAGGAAGGTTCAGATAAATTATAAGAAGCATAAAAAATGAATAATCAAATCAATTTGCATATATAACAATAAACCTGTATCAAGAACACCAATAATAACATCTCTCTCTGCTTTTAGATGTCTTTTTGCTGTCAGAGGAAGTCCAACGAAGTCCCATGATTTTGTTGTGTGAAGTTTGCGATATTGATTTCGGGATACACCAACAACTTCTTCCATCTCTGCACCAGTTTTTTTCTTTACTTATTATTTCTAGATATTTTATAACTTATATGAATCTCACTAGCTAGCTAGTGTATGGACGTTTTTTTGTGATGTCAAAAACCAATATTACGTACGTACCCATCATCTTCTTAGCTTCATGTGGAGAAAGCTTGGCAGCAAAAGCGTTGAAGGCTTTAGTGTAACTATATACTTTTCTTTCCTTTGCTTCTTCTTGGCTGTTTCCTCAAGAGACGTTATAAACTTGGTTAACAGATAACCAAGTAGAGCACTACTCTTTAAAATGTTACGCATTTATTTGTTTTAGAATATGTATTATACATGTATTGATCATGCACGGCATATACCTCATATTCAAAGACGAGAGAAGATTTATGTGTCTCTTGATAGCTTCTTCTGTATCATCTAGTCGATCTCCCAAATATATGATATAGAAATCCTTTATAATTAAGAATTTCAAGAGTAAGTATTCTCCTTGCAACATAAATTTTTGTACAATCTAATGACAAAGAAGCTGGAGAGAAAAAAATTGTATATATATATATATATATATAATTATTACCTTTGCATGTTCATCTTCGGCTGAAGCATATCCTGGTGATATCGAAAGTACATCAAGAAGAACAATAAAAAGAACAAGTAGATGATGATGACGAGAACATTTTGACATTCCCATTGTGATATTGTGTATATGATAAGTTTGGTTATGGAGTAATGAGAAGATGACACATTCTCCTCTATTAATAGAGAGTAAGAGTACCTTATGGGCTTGATTCGTTAAAGATATTACTTATGATAATGGAGAAATGTGAAAACAGATTTAACTGTTTAATTTCTTTTAAAAAATACGGTGTAGAGCACACATGCGGATTGTCATAGAGTTTTTAATTTGTTTTTAATAAAAATTAGTTCGTATGGTGTCTTAGAAGGAAAATAGCTAGTGGTCACTTGCTATATCTAATTGTTTCTACTTTGGTGATAACATAGATTAATACACATGTATGTATGTATAGAGTAATAGGAACACGAGATTTGAGCTAATAATAAGTTTTTTTAAAAGAAAGAAATTTTTGATTACTTGAATTCGAATTCAAGCAATTGAGTTTTTACCATAGAAACTCTATAGTTATAGCTTTAAAGTTTTCCAATGGTGATCATATATTGTCTTGTAAGGCTCTACTCCAATGGTTCTCTCTTAAATGTTACACTAATTAATACACCCATATAAATATAATTCGAATTTATATTATTATATCATCAACAATTATATACTATTGCTTAGCTCAACCCTTTATTCATTCACGTTTGTTGAAATCAAACAATCTGTGAATTTATTATTAAAAATTTATTACATAAGACTTGGTTTTCAAAATTGTTAACTCACATAATCGCGACACCTATCATATCTACTCCCTCCGTTTTCGAATAGTTGTCGTTTTAACTATATGCACACAAATTAAGAAACTATTAATGTTGTTAGTTTTTCAATATAAAAATATCATTAATTATCTATCTAAACATAATTTAATCAATAGTAAATCAAGTTGCATAATAAAAATAAATATAAAAAATAAAAAAAAGTAATAAATTTTGCATCGAAAACTGAAAACGATAACTAATTAAAAACAAAAAAATTTCTCTAAAACGACAACTATTCGAAAACGGAGAGAGTATTAATTAGAGATTTTTTCATGTGTAAAACCATTATAAAAAATTGTACAATATTAATTAGAGATTTTGCTTATGTTTTGTGCATATTTTGCTTATTTTATTTGATCTTTTTGTAAATATATTATTTTTGTTTAGTATTTTAATAATTATAATATTTGTAGTCAAAAATAATTTAGCAATGAATCTTTTAAACTAATTTGATGTTTTTGAAAATATTTAATATACGTCTCTCATTAACACCTCTAAAGTTATAATAGAAAAATAGCATATGTCGCTTCTATAGCCGTAGGGCTGAACTTTATTACGGCAATCCAAGAGACGCTCCTTACACCGTACCTTCAACTACTCCAAATATCTTACAAGCAATCTGCCATGCTTTGACTCTACCAGCCTTTATCGGAACTGATTGTTCAGCCAATAGTCGGTTTCTAGGGTGACCGATGCACGTCAAGCTTTGATCTACGTTGACCCTTCATAGCCGTTGGCACTCTCCTCCTCGCCACTTCGGTACTACTTATCGGCTATGCAGTCGACGTTAGGGGTTTTGATTGGTGATTATGATTCGATCCATATGGATTTTATTCTTTGGTTTATGTACTTTAGACATTGCTAAGAACATGGTTCAAGGTCCTCGTAAGGCTTTCTTATTTAACCTAGAAACGGGAAATGGAATGTTAAATGCACGCTTCGAAGATGTTGTTAGTGCTCAAGCATCTGTGGTCTAGTGGTAGAGGAAGCTTTGGAAAATGGTGAAACTCTCAAACCTGAGTTCGATTCTCCCTAGAAACAAAAACACATTTGTTTGGGAAGTCTGTCAATTGGCCCTTGGCCCAATTGGTTTGACTCGTAGTCAGAAATGCAGACGGCCTGACTACCCCTGTCATTAGTCGGAAAGCACTCCAAACTCGGATCAGGCAGTGTGGTGGCCCAATTCTAGATCTCATAGATCTAATGAATCTCATGGCTCGTTCGACACGAGTCCGCTCGGAGCTCATGCACTACAAAAAATATCCACATTGATAGCACGTGATGATAGCTCATTTTCCGCAACTGCTATAAAAAATAGAAAAATTATTTGATTACTATATTATAGCATTGAAACAACGCTAAGATACCAAATTAGCAAATGAAAATGTAAAATCATTTATTTCGCTAATACTTTGCCCAAAAATTTCACTTAAGCGCCACAGTCTATTCATTTCCCTCTTTCTTATAGATTCAGACCTAAAACTTCTCACAAACAATTCCCCCTTTCACCCAAAACCTATCGAGAACTTCTCACATACTCATACCTAAAAGAAATCGATTAGTGGTCTCACTCTCCTCCTTTCGATCTCACTCTTTGGTCCTCCCTCTCACTGTCTTTTTTTTTTTTTTTATCTCCCTCTCCTCTTTAAATATGGTTTGGTTTTCGTTTGAAATTGTGAATCGTGTTTATAAATGATTTTGTTTAACAGCTAATGCGTCGAGATTTGTGTGTTCACGAACTCTTGACGGTGGAAAGGTTTGGAGAATTGATTAGGGTTCTTCCTCATACTCGTTACTAGTTCCTCCAGGTTTAATTTATTTTTGTTAAGTGTTGTTATTTTATGGAGTTTTCTCAAGATTTATGTTGATCCTGAACCCCTAAGGTATTTGATTTTCTAGAGTTTCATTTTTTCTTACCATCTTTAGCGCTTGTCTTTTATGCACACCATGTGTTCGATGAAATTACTAGCTTAAAGTTTTAAAATCATTTAGGTTCTGCAACTTACCTAGCAACGTAACACTCTTTTTTTACTCTGAATTTGATTTAAAGAATTGATTTTTTTCCTTTCTGTGTTGTTGAGGATTTGCACAAACATGACGCCTTTTGTTTCTATGTCTCTTTCTCTCTACGTCTTTGTTTTGTTAGCTCGTGGTCGGTTAGATGGATATGGGTTTGTGAATTGATTAAGAGTTATTTCTTTATATAGATGTTGCTTAGTGTTAACCAGTTTGACTTGGGATTTTGATTATGTAGTTATTCTGTATATGAACTCATTGTGCACTCTAGATGTTCGATAAAATGTCTAGGTGAGACTCAAACTGGAAAAATTGCATTCAGCCGGTTTGTTTTTTTCATTGGTGTTGTAGGGTAACGATCTATAGTAGGAGGTAAGAACAAGAAGACCAAAAGACTGCTCCTATAGTAGGAGGTAAGAACAAGAAGACTGTTTTCATGGATGATTACGTTTAGCTACTTTAATTGTATTTCTACATTGAGTTTATAATGATTTGATTATCTGATGCATTATGTACCATTGGATGTTATTAGATTCTCGTGGAATGGTTTTAGTATCTAATAGGAATGCTAGTGGACATTTTATTATATCAGGTCATTGTTAAGTAAGGTCTCTTTATTCAGTATCTCAGGACATTTTTACATATGAATGAGATATCAATTTTAAGACTTTTTCTTACTCGATATTGCAGGAATCTTGTGTAGATTCTGTCTGTAATAAGGGAGTCTCTCTTAACTCAACCTTTAGCAACTCTTGCCTTTCATATATCCTTCTCCACTAGGTAAGTCTCTATACTTTCTTTCTTCAAGTGCAGCTAGAAGTCAAGCTCTCTTTTATTTCTAAAACTATGTGTGATGATTTATAGGTTTCCTTCTAGTAATGACTTATAATTTTCTCTGTCTCAGTTTAGTATTGACAATATACTTAGCTTCAATTAAGCTATTGGGAGATCGAGTTTTGGTTAAGACCAAAGAGGCAGAGGAAAAGACTTGACTTTTGAATATAGAGAATTGAGAGATGGATGATAGTGAAGGTAGCATCAAACTTGTTTAATTGGTTTGGTTTCTGAAACATCATTTTGTGGATATTGTTAGTGGTAAGCTAGATTAGCTGCATTGATTTCACTTATGTGGTTCGTCACTTATGTTTTCAGAATTCTCAGAAGTTCCTGATCTAAGTAAGTGGTTTTCGAGTTATGTCTATGAGTCACCGATGTTGGATACAAGTGATGGTCTTGAGTTTCTTGGAGAAAGTAAAGGTACAAAGGAAATGGAATTAGTCTCTTCTCAGGCTAAAGATATGTCTCAATCGCAGGTTGAGTTTTCAGGTGAGTAAAGAGATTTGTTTACTAAGAAAGTGACTCAAAAGTTTGTGGTCAAGAAGCCTGAATTTCACTTGTTATATTTTATGTTCTAACAGAAGATATAATGAATCTCGTCGTTGAGGATAGTGAGATAGATGAAGACTGCAGTATTTGGGGAAAACCTAAGAGAAAAGGTAGCAGTATTTTTCGAAAACCTAAGAGAATGGAAGAGACTACAACAAGCTATGAAGCTGAGCTAACTTCCTTGAGGAATCGAGTCCAATATCTAGAAAACGAAGTAAGGATTTTGCATGATCTCATCAATAACTTCCTTGGCAAAAGTAGTATATAGAAGTTAGGATATTAGTTTAAGTATTGGATTGAGACTTGTGTTATGTATGAATTGATTTTTTGTTTATGAAATGATATATATCTTTTGGATGTTTATTATTATATATATTGGATATTTTGAAAACTAAACAGGATCCACCAAATGCAAATAGCTTAAAACAACCGCATAAAATTAGAGTTATGGCACTGAATATTATAGCATCATAAAAATTATAGATCATAGCTTATATATATCGCTATTATAAGTCGATATATGAAAGCGTTTTACTAATGCTATGGTAGAATACTTTATCATAGCATATGGAAAAAATGCTATCGTATATGAAGGGTCTACCATAACATGGGCATAAGACAGCGTTTATGAAAACGCTATTGATGACATTTAATAGCTCTTTTCTCTTGCTAATAATGTAGATATTTCTTGTAGTGATGGTGTCTGTTGAATCGTTGAACCTTGGTGTGTTCCTACCGAGACTGACCGAATCAGCCGATAGGGTTTTTAAAAAAAAAAAAAAAAAAAGTTGTTAGTCTGAGTAAAAAATAGTGGTGGACTACAAAGCAAACTAGAGAGACTCAAAGTGCTCACGGAATTGGGTCGGGTTTAAATAATAGTTTGGGCTGTTTGATATACAGAACACCTGTGGAACCCATTTACGGCCCATTATAGTTAATAGGGAAAAGGAGAAAGGAGACTCGTTGGTTCGTGTATCCCGCCAGAATCGATCCTCCTTCACGCTCAAGATCCCATCCATGTTGTGGAAACCTCTTGAACCGGTGTACCCAAGGATGATTAAAACAACATATTTGATGGTCCAAGAGACCAAATCAATGGATGGAAATACATAAATTTTCCATAGTAAAAAACGTTAGAGTGGGTCATTCGAAAACGTACGTGAAAAAACAAAACGAACTTTTCAAACCAGAAAAATGTGATCTCTGGGTGTTCTATTTCCTAAATTTTTATTATTTCTTCGTTTTTCTGTAAATATGTTTGTAGTCATTACACGGGAGAAAAGCTATTGGCCTATTGCTATCCCAATGCGAGAAGTATATAAAAATAAAATAAAGATACTCCATTTAACCAATGTAAATCATATAGTTCTTATATTAACATTCTAGCCAACAATTTAAATACGAATTCGACCAAGTATATATATATTACAAGGAGAAACATATCGCTAACTATAGATCTCTTACGGTCCAAATAAACAAACATTTTATAAAAATAACTTCATTCTCGTTTTATCACTGTTGAGCCAGAACCACTGGTTCCCGGGGATGGCTGAGCTGGCATTTGCCCACCGTGAATAAACTCACGCGCCAGTGCTTGGAGCTCACCGCCTCCGCCGATATTAGACGATGACGGGACGCCGAAGAGATGATCAGACGGTCGTGGTTGTTGCTGCATGGCCCACGTGGAGGACATGACCGGCTCGAAGATGGAGGAGAGGTCGTACACCGACGGCGATATTGATGGGAGGTCCGTTATGGAGAGAGCCTGCAGAGATCCAGAAGACGACACCGGAACCTGTGGTGGTTGAGGTTGTGGCAGCTCTAGAGTTGCTAAGTGTGCTTGTAGATATGAAAGCTCAGTTTGCAAACTTACCACCTGTTTTTTTTTTTTTTTTTTACGAAATCAAATTGTTAAAATTGATAATAATGCCAACAAATATGAAAGATAGATAAGAATCTAGAAAAATGATATTTCCAGCAATCTTTAATAATTGGAAGAGTTTCCGAATTCGAGCAAATGTTGTTGATTCAATAATGCCAAAAAAACAAGACAGGAGTAATTGATCAATCAAGACCACCGATTTAGAAAAATATATGCGGGATAAAACAATCTAATAATAACACAAGAGACATTGTACATAACATATAGAAAATGCTTGCTTGTAAGATTGGAAATATCCTTCACTAACATCAATTTATAGAATGCAATGGCATACGTTTGTATATAAATAAATATATATATATTCGTGTATGTGTGTACATGAAAGTACCTATGTATGTTGCAATTAAAAGATTTTTTTTAAAAAAGGATGCTTGGGAATAAGTGTAAAACAACTTGGTTGTTGCGAACAGAGGAAGATTTGTCATCTCAATCAATGGCTTGGATTCAACTTGGAAAACAATTCCTTGTAAAACATTCAACAAAATTTCTAATACATATGCTAAATGATCATTAACTTTCCTAGCCAACTTCAAGTGTAGACATTTTAACCAGGAAAAAGAGAGAAGTTTTCATATGCTATGTAACGCATTGGATCATGTGTAATACACACACATACAATTATATTATGCTTTATGCATGCTTTCTTAACAAACTACCATTACTAAAAGTGTAAATTAAATCAAAAGATGTTCTATATCACATATAAATATAGACTCATAGACACGTCATTTAATATAGAGACATAACTTTATCCAAAAGGCAAAGGCCATGAACCCAGTTGTAAAATTTTAGATTTTTAAAACTCCTTTTTCAATTTAGAGTTGGTTTTCGATCATGGCAAAAACAAAACAAAAAATATATATCCTTGAAGAAGAACACATCGGAATGAATAAAAAAATTGTTGATGCTTAAGAAAGGGTAATTTGCATGATGGGATATATGATCCTAGAAACGACAATCAAAAAGGAGATAAAGAGAGTGTGAATTTAAAAGGACTAAGTTTGTAGTTTAATTGAACATTAAGTCAAAATGCAAAAATCTCATTAAAAAAATAAAGTTTTGAAAAACATTTTTTCTAACAAAAAAGTTAAAACATAATTACATAGAAAATGATAAAAAGAATTGATCAACGTGACGACATAGAGACAGTAGATCAACTTAAAACTGTTGCGATTTCACATCATAAGTAGTACTAATCATATAATTAAACGTTATGAAAAGAATAATTAACCTGTTGCTGAAGAGAGACGATGTGAGAGACGCAGCCGTAAATAGGGTCTCTGAGACGAGCCTGAGCCTCAAAGCAGATTGAAACGACGGCGTCTGGTCGTTTATGCTCGGGAACATGTTGGAGGAGTTTGGAGACGTTGCTCGCTCCGAACACCTTGTGAACCGCCGCGAAGTGCGCCGCTCCTTGCTCGGAGTCAAAGTAAGGCGCGAAGATGCAGCCAGCGACACACTTCCTTCTCAAGAACTTGCACGCGCCGCAAGGGCCTCCTCCACCGCTGCTGCTAGGGTTTCCGCTACTGCTCATCTTCCTTATTTACCTCACAACTACCTTTATTTTCCTTTTCTTTTTTGGATTTTCTTTTACTAGCTAATTGGTGATTAGGGTTTTGAGATACATGGATTTAACTCATCGAGACTATGATGCTTTTTGGTTCTTGATTAAAGAAAAAAAAAAGAAAGGGAACGTTTGGGAGAGAAGAAAAGAGAGGAGGAGGAGATCGGACGTAAGCAAAACTAGGGTTTGGTTGTTGGTAATTGGAAATGTTTTTATTTCCCCCCACTAATACATTAATAGTTTATTTAGTAGATAAGAAAATAATAATTTAATTAGTCTTGTTATTACCACAAAAAAAAAAAAAAAGACGGTTAAGACAAGAAGAAAAAAAAAAGGACTTCAAAGCAACGCGATGGAGCGTACTTGTCTCGTGTTAAGCTCTTTGCGTGAAGCAAAACATTCCATATCTTTCAACTTCTTCATTGTTATTCCCTTCCTTCACTTTTTCTACTTCTGGTTTAATTTTATTTTTGTTACAATCGGTCCACACAACTATATATTTTTTTCCCGCAGTCCACACAACTATCTTATGGTATATACAATTGTAATTTATGCACATTCAGTTAATTACTATTAGAAATTAGTTTTAGAAACTAATAATTATATAAAGTGAGCTTAAAAATATAATCTAATTAACTATTAATTTTTGGCGGTGATTTTAATGCAATAACTTTATAGTAGAAATGTAACGGCTCACCGCTATGCGTTATTTTCTTTTTGGTTAATCGGGTATTTTATCAACATTTGGCAACATATCTAAAAATTTTATGCGGATTTTTTCTTCGTGAGATTCTTTGATTTTTGTCGTGTATATTATCATATTTGAATTAAGTTTATACCACGGCGATAATACCAATACAAACTACTGATTTTTTTATTTTTATTTTGGTTTTAGAAGCTCACTGACCTAGAGTATTTGTAAATAACAATGTTCCATTTTGGCAATAGAATTCATAATTTATCAAAAAAATAAAAACACAAACTACTAATGTTACAAATTAACATGTATTTGTACTGTACATATAGATAGATGCTACATATATGTAAATGATAGAGAGAGAGAGAGAGAGAGAGTGCAATTTTCAAAGCAACTAGATTTATTACATATGATCCGGTAATGATTATATGCAAAAACTTGTATTATTGACGGGTTTAATAAGTTGATTACGCAATCTATATTTTGATCAGGGAATCATGTAACTCAATATTCGATTAGGGTTGCAAATAAGGAAACTCCAATTAGTGCATATATTTGAGCTTTCCGAAATTACAAGATCGATGCAATGTATAGTCACCAGTCAGTGCGGATCTCAAATATTATTACACGATAAATGAGTTTTAATTTGGTGACGGCAAGAATGATCAAATACACGAGTGTATAAATCACATATCTCACAATTCACATCATCGATTAAAAAAAAAAAAAGTGTGACGATTACGACGGTCCAATAATAGCCACCAAATTGTAGAAAGCAACTAGCAAAAAGCAAAGTGAGTCAAGCTAATTAAGTTGGTTCAGAAGAACCGGTAATCAAAACCTAAAAAAAAGTAAACCGGGATATAATTTGAAAGAACTGGAAAGATTGGCACGTATGTATGATCGCCACGTGTCAAATGAGACTTTTAAGAAGAACGTAACCGCTCTGACGCAACCAATGGCGCGTTTGCCAGTGCGTATGGTAAAACAAGTAACGCTCCCATTTCATTTCTTATGTTACTTGATTAATTTATACTATTAATTATGAACAGTTAAATGAATTAATTACATTACTTAGGAGATTAACAAATACTACTAAACTAGAAGAAACGGTAACAGTTGTTGACAGAGGGGGTCACCGTGCCGTCCGCCTCTTGTCCAATCCTTGTTTGTACTTCCTATGAGACACGTGTCCTCGTATCACGCCCTCTTCTGCTCCTTTCTTCACCGCTTGCGTACGCTAATAAACACTGTTTTTATTTAATACATTCACTAGGCCTTATGACAAGTTCTTTTTTTGTCATCATATACGTACATTTTAGGTATAGTCACTACTACTACTAGGAATTGGCTATGGATAGGGACTTATCGATCCAAATATGTATAAAAAAAAAAAGTATAGTCACTAGTCACTACTTTTAATCATCTAACGCTAGCCAATTAAGAATCGGAAACAGGGTACAAGGCCCGGCCCATTAACGAGAGGCTTTGATTAAATTGGAAAAGTTACGAGGGTCAGGGATCTTGTCAAACAGAGAGGGAGAGAGAGACATGACAGTGACTGACTGACTGAGGTTGTACTTGCGGGCGAAGCAAACAGTGATCAGTGTCATGTCTTTGTCTGACTATACGATTTGTAGAAACAAGAAGCAATCAATATACACACATTTCTCTCTACATTCTAGCATGAAAGATGTTCATAGGGAGGGAGAGACTCGCATCACATATAATAAAGAATTACACACGTGTGGTGAGGGATCGCACGTGTGTGTGAACGGGAAACCTGCGGCGGAGTGAGTGAGAGAGAGAGAGAGATAGAGAAATACGTCAGCAAGCAGCTAATTGTGTTTTGCTTCACGCAAAGCATTTGTGTTTGTCCTTTGTATATATCACAAATCCGCTTTGCCGTTGCTTCCAAGCTTTACCCATTAATTAGTACATTCATTCTCATTACTATAATAATTAATAAAACCCACAACGCTTGCTCGTTATAATCCAATTAGAACCTTATTAACTGAACCCACTATATGTATATATAAGTCTATATATCTTCATTTACTATCTAAATCCGTACTAATTCCCTACTTTCTAGGCCTTGTGTGATAGCCAGTTCTAGATTTTTAGTGGCATTTACTAAATCTTTATCTCAAACCTATGATTGCTAATTTAGTTTATATATATATAGTATTGATTTGTCTACTTTTACATTTACAAGTTATATGCTTTCATTGATTTTAGGATCCCATATATAAATAATTCTTTCACTTATTTATGGAAAATAGCTAGTTTATTGTGTGTGAGATTCAACTATGTACAGTAAAATGAAACACACAAAAGGAAAACAAAAAACAAAAATATGCACATAGAAGAAAAGATGATCAAGTTATAGAAAATGTAATGATTATAAATGACCCACCACCAAAAAAAAAAAAAAATGACCCACCACCAAAAGCAAGACATGATTTTCTTGCCTGACACGATCCTCTATGCTCCACATTAAGTACTTAAAAAAATTTATTCATGAACAAACCTATCTCTCTCTCTTAAACATCTCTTTGGATTGGATATATAACTGTGGTCGACGACGACACTGCTTAGTGCTTACCCCAAACAAAACGTCTTCGACAGAAAAGATGAGCGGAAGCACCACCGGCAGTGGAGGTCCGTGCGGCGCATGTAAGTTTCTCCGGCGGAAATGCGTGGCTGAATGTGTCTTCGCTCCCTACTTCGATTCGGAGGAAGGGACGTCTCATTTCACGGCGGTGCACAAGGTTTTCGGGGCGAGCAACGCCTCCAAGCTCCTCATGATGATTCCGGCCAGCCGGAGACTGGACGCCGTCGTCACGCTTACTTACGAGGCATTGGCTAGGCTTCGCGATCCCGTCTACGGATGCGTTGGTCATATCTTCGCCCTTCAACATCAGGTATTCTAGTATATATATAAAACCAATTGATGATCTATATACATTGAAAGATTTACTGGACATGCATGCGTGTATTAATTATATAGACGTTCAGATTATAATAAAGTAACTCATCCCATAACGTTAGGTTAAGTCAGATATATAAATATAATGAGATTATATATATATCCGCAGCTAGCATCTGTTAGCTGCTTAACTTTTTAGTTAAATTACAGTTCCATTTATCGCCTCTTGGTTTCCTGTTTATTAGTTTTGAAACTTGCATAGTAGTACTAGTATTTTAAAATTCCAGTAAGTTGCTAATAAATTGAAAATAGCCAACGTGTGTCTTCCCAATGACTCGTTTGTCGAAACAGAGTTAAAGAAAGTCAAATCGTCAATCTTTGTGGTTACCTTCCGACTTGCTTGTCTTTATTATATCGGTTGAACAAAACAGTTTGAAAATGTTCTTCTAAAACAAATAAATTAGATATTTTAAAAACTAGCTAATGTTATATTCTCTCCGTTTCGTTTTAGTTTTCGGTTAAGGTTTTTGCACACAAATTAAGAAAATCATTAAATTTTTTGTTTTACCCTTTATTAATATATTTTATAATTTTTTCATTGGTCAAAACAAAACATTAATTTTCACCAAACATTTGCATTGAAAACCTAAAATGACAACTATTATAAAACAAAATTTTAATCCTAAAACGACAACTAAACTGAAACGGAGGGAGTATGAACTTTTCAATTTATTAAACGTCCCTCATGTGAACAGGTTATGAATCTACAGGCGGAGTTAGCTTACGTCCAAACTCAACTTTCAACCTTACAAGGCCTTCCTCCGCCGAATCCTCAAAACAATTCACGGACAGAAGCAGCCTCTTCGTCTAATGCGCCACCCATTTCTTCCGTCGATAATAAAAGCAATGTGTCTTCCGCGTCGTTACACATTCCTTGTATGTCACAACAACAAGAAGAACAGGCAAAAGAAGCTATTGAGGTCTCAACAGAGTCAGTGGATCTTAGCACATTGTTTGGCCTAGAAGATCCAGTGGATGAGGACGGTGATCTGAACGCTCTTGCCCGTGAGTTCTTGTCTAAGTATTTGACCGGTGGCAAATGCCGTCCATCTTCTCCAATCTAACCATGTTTGCCTTTGAGACATTTATTAGGAACTCTTTATTTTGTACTAACCGGATTGCTCTGTAACTTAAAAGGGGCGTTAATAGATTCTATTGGATTTGCACTGCAACTCACATCTCACATCTCACGCTAGACGTCGACATGACACCCATGTCCCCCTATTTATTTATTATAAGGCTTTGCTTGCTCCATTTTTTTGGGTCGAATCATGAAAATGTGTAATTCATTCATAGTGCAACTTAGGCCCAAAAATTTAAGGCCCGCGTTTCTATAAATTAAATTAACGTTGATCACTCGGGTTGGAATTAATAAGTACAGGCCTACAGGGTCTAATTTAATAGTAGTATAATCGTGAAGGTGGTCTCGAGACCTCGAAAATTGTCATTTGAAATCAAGGAAGGGTGTGTTGACACGTAATGATGATCCAAAAGCTTTTGGGTGAATTAGCTGTATAACCAAAATGACAAAAGAAATTAAGAATATAGCAGGTTAAAGTGAGAAAGAAAACAAGTAACCATTTTGTTTCGTTTAGGACGAAAATGCCCTTATTTGGTGTGAAAAGCTGTCATGAAAGAGACTAGGAGCCACGTAAGATATTTCTTCTCTTTTATGGATAAATTATTTACTTACCCCTCTTCAGTTTTGTTTTGCTGTAATTTCATTAAAACAAACTGATTCGAACTCCAGATTATATTTAAAGAAACATAAAAAAATTCTGAATTATCGTGTTTTGAATTTTTTAAAATTTATATAAATGTTTTACAATATAAAAAAGTGGTTATAAATTAAACGTTTCATTCTATGCAAAACACACAAAAGAAAATAGTATAAAACATAAAACATTCGATATAAACATACTAAAAATCAAAAACAAATTTAAAAATCAAATAAACCAATTGAAGGAAAAATTTTAAAACTTATGAATAAACACAAAATCAAAAAAATATATTTTTATAATTATCTTTAAAAGAATACGTATGTCGACTTTTTGAGAAATATGTGTTAAATACACGCCGAAAAAAAAAACTATACCCTAAGAGATACTATATAGGGAACCCAAAAGATAAATTTAAACGCAAGTCAAATAAGTACCACTTTACTCTGAATGATACAATAAACAAGATTCAAATTGTTGAGTTAAATGTACGCCAAAGAAGAACGATATACCCTAAAAATACAATATAGGAAATCCAAGCGGTCAAATTAAACGTACGTAGAAAAACATATATCATAAAGAATATAATATGTAAAATCAACATAAATTATCTACCGGTAAAATTAAAGAATAGAGTGATTTATGTTCTATATAGAACGATGGAAAATTTCTTGTAAACTTGTTTATAGATAATTAAAATAGTATAGTATCAAAAATAATAGTATAGTATCAACTTAAACCGTATAGTTTGTGATCATCTTAGTTACATATTTAGCGTTAAATTTGTTAGTTGTAAGAACAAATCCAAGAAACCAAATCAAAATTAAGACGGAGAAACACCAAAGTGGGTATAAATTTCTATTGATCACACAACTAATTCCATAACGACAATATAGTATAGTACATTCATGTTATTTAGTTGATTTGGAAGCACCATGGTGAATAGGTAGGTGGGAGTGGCGATGAGTTCGTTGTAAACTCGTTGTAGCCACCGAGAGTGTAGTCACGATTTTAACCGGACTTTGAATGAACGGTTTTGGGTAGGTGAAAAACATCGGAAAAGAATGCGAGTCTATTGGATTCTTCGATTGAAATCCGAGTAAAAGCTGTTACGTTTATCATTCCAACAAAACTGACTTCTTCAGAAAAGGAGTACATGATGAACATATATCTCTTTTCTGTGAAACACTTCTCTAAAATCCAAATTCAATTCACTGAACGGAGACCTCTCTTATACTAATATTTATTTTGTAATTTTGAAACCATAAAAATGAAATTGACACTAAATTAAGAAATGGAAAGAAATATGAGGAGTAAAAATGGCATCAATTTAAAAAGAACTCAACTATGCTTGAAATTGAAAGAGAGAAAAAAAAAGAATATTGTTTAATGTTTTAATGTCAATGGCAGATGGAAAATAGAGACAGATACCAGATGGAGAGATGAAAACAAATGGCAAGGTTAAGATGGTCAATATATAGTTTATACAAGGTATATTATAGCCAGTTTTTTTTATGGTTACTTATTTAATTATAATTTTTTTTATGGTTATACAATGCAATTTCTCAAAGCTTTTTTCTCATGTGCCGTGATCCTAATGAGATACGGATCAATTCTTATTTTAACACACAATGATTTAAAATGGAAAAATATTTGCCAGCTACGCGAAAGATACACCATCACATAGTCACACATGCAGACTTTAAAAATGTCTCGTTAGCTACACTAAGTATTGACATTACATACGGACATCCCCGAACTAACATAAGTCATGTTGCAAACACCATAACCATCTAATTCCAGTGATTCAGTTGCCGGAATCCAGCATTGACCGGCGTTGACCAAAAATATTTTTAAAAAAATATTTTTTTTCTTTTTATTCATTTATTTATTTTTGATAAAAATACTTTAAATTACTTAAAAATATACCAAAATTAAATATACCACAAATAATATAACAAAATATACCACAACATATACAACAAAAATTTTGGTAGATATTTTTGTAATTTAACTAAATATACCACAAACTAGTCCATAAATTTTATTTTGTCCTATATTTATTTATAAAATTTTGGTAATATAAAAAATACACATTTTTTTTTGAAAATCATTTTTTTTGGTATTCAATGTCAAACAACCGAGAAGGAAAAATATTATTTTGTGGTAAAAAATGATTTTCAAAAAGAAAATGTATATTTTGCTATATTACCAAAATTTTATTAACAAAACATACATTTTTCTTTTGAATTTTTTTTTGTGGTATTCAACAACGAATAACCGAGAAGAAAAATTTTACTTTGAGGTAAACAAATGATTGCCAAAAGGAAAATGTATATTTTGTTATATTACCAAAATTTTATTAACAAAATATTTCTTATGCTATATTTTCTTATAAAATTTTGGTCATATAACAAAATATACTTTGTGGTATATTATACCAAAATTTTATAAATAAATATAGCAAAAAATAAAATTTATGGACTATTTTGTGGTATATTACAAAAATATATACCAAAATTTTGTTGTATAATTTTTTTTGTGGTTTATTTTGTTATATTAGTTTTGGTATATTTTTAAGTAAAATTATTACACATAATTTTTAATAATTTTTTATATCAAAAATAGATAAATAAATAAAAAGCAAAAAAAAAATTGAATTTTGTTTTGGTCAACATCGGTCAACGCCGGTCAATGCTTGTCAATGCCGGATTCCGGCAACTGAATCACTGGAATTAGATGGTTATGGTGTTTGCAACATGACTTATGTTAGTTCGGGGATGTCCGTATGTAATGTCAATACTTCGTGTAGCTAACGAGACATTTTTAAAGTTTGCATGTGTGACTATGTGATGGTGTATCTTTCGCGTAGTTGGCAAACATTTTCCCATTTAAAATCAAATAACTGTATTTTTTTCCTGCAAGTAAAAGCAATATAGGACTTTGACCCTAATTGAGAGTTATCTTTTAAACCAGATATTTTATTTGATTTTGTTGATGATAAAATGTTCCTACCCAAAACACGTGATTCCATTCAAAATCTCATCTATAAGAGTACTTGGATTATTGGGTTGCCGTCAAAACTAAACACTTGGATTATTGGAACATTACTAACTTAACAAGTAAATACTAGGATCATTGGAACATTACTTAACTTAACAAAACTACTAATACTAGCATAAACTTTTACCCCCCAAAAAAAGAAAGGAAAATATAGCTGTGGCCTGTGAGCGCATTACTTAACATTTTTTTCCGATAAGAAAATAATACTATTATTATTATTATTATTAATACTAGGTTATGAACTCCGCGATGTCGCGGATAAACTCATTTTCAACAAATATATTTGATTGTGTTTATTTATTAAATTATTATGATAATATATTCAAATATATGAATTATTATATAAAATTAACTATGTTTTAAAGTTATATCATAAATATTTTCCAAAGATGTTAAAACAATTTATGAATAATAATACAAAAAGAAGAATTATGATTAAAATCACATTTGAAATATTTCTTATGAATGTAAATTATTTATAAGTGACAAAATATATAACAAAGAGTTATAATATAGAGATGAAAAATTCTAGCAGGTCAAAACTCAAAAATTCGGATGGAGTTAGTACTCAGAATGACTTGTGGATGACTAAGAACTTCGCCAGAGAATTGGTGTTTTCTTTATTGTCCATTGTTCTTTAAATATAAAGTTAATATTTATTCTATTATATATATTAAAGAAAATATAAAATTTGATGACGTAAATTACATCTATAACAAAAAAATAAATATTTACAAGATCTCATAAATTTGTATTTATAATGATAAATTAACTGACTAAAAAACTTCTTCCTTGAATAACATTTGACGAATTGGAAGCATTGTTTTTTCCTAATAATGTAAAAAATTTCTGGATTATCATACCATTTGAAACAGTTCATTTGACGCTTACCAAATTTAAAACGCTCAATCACAATGCGTCATATGAGCATGTCTTCTCATATTCGGACTTTATAATAGTGTTAACGCAATATCAATATTTTTTGAGAGACTCACAAAAATGCCCATTTTTCAATACCCCTTTTAAAAAATACCCCATTTGGCTGTCTATTTTTAAATATACCCATTTTTATGTACAAAATGACTAAATTACCCTTCTTTTAATAAAATATATCACAAATATATAAGGAAAACATGAGAATGTGCACACATCAAAATTACAAATTTGATTTTGTAAAAACTTTAAAATACCTTGTAAAATTTTTCCGTAAAAATTTTTTCCGCCAAAAATTTTTTTTGCGGGAAAAGTGATTCCGCAATTTTTTTGGCGTTAAATTTTTAGCGGGAAAAATTTACAAGGTATTTTAAAGGTTTTTTACAGGGTATTTATAAGGTTTTACAATGTATTTTAAAAGGTTTTACAACTTATTTATAAGGTATTTATAAGAAATTATAAGATTTTACAAGCTATTTTATAAGGTTTTACAAGTTTTTTATAAGGTTTTACAAGTTATAAATACCTTATAAGTACCTTGTAAAACCTTTTAAAATACATTGTAAAACCTTACAAAACACTTGTAAATACTCTGTAAAACCTTTAAAATACCTTGTAAACTTTTCCCGTCAAAAATTTTCCCGCCAAAAAAATTGCGGAATCAATTTTCCCGCAAAAAAGTTTTTTTGGCGGGAAACATTTTTACGGGAAAAGTTTACAAGTGTTTTGGCGGGAAAATTGCGGGATCACTTTTCCCGCCAAAAAATATTTTGTATTTTGTGGACCTAATTTTGTTTCAAATAAGGGTAAAATGGTCATTAAAAATTAAAAGAGGGCAAACTTAAAAAATGACTCTCAAAGGGGGCATTTTTGAAAAGGAGTATTGAAAAACGGGCATTTTTAACAATTTCTCATATTTCTTTGTATATAATTCATATATATTGCTTTAAAATAGAAAACGTCATTGTTACTATATAAAATAGTTAAATAAAAAAATTCACAATATAATCCGTCCAATTGTTGGTACTTCATTATTGGTAATTCATTAGAATGTTATATGTAAAGTCGATTAAAACTTCTCTATTTCTATAATCATTCCAAAAAAACTTAAGTTAGATCAAGAATGTGAAAAAAAATTTAATATTAAAATGATGTATGTTTAGAAATAGTTTAGAGAATAAAAAATTTGATGCCATTTTACAGATTATTTTTTTTAGATTCATCATAAAATAAATAATTTATGTTAAAGATAAAAAATATGGGAACTACTTAGGAAGAAGGAAAAATATATAGAGTTCAAAAGTCATGAAAATTTAAATAGACAACTATTCATACAAAAAGTTGTGATGAAAAAATGCAATGAAATACAGTGAAGAGACGTATTTAAATGAATAGATGCAACTATAAGACACAACCGTAAACTGAAAAAATACGATTATAATTGAACAAATAGAACTATCCAAAAAAAAATAACTGTCAATATTTTAACAAAAATATACGATAAAAAGTTACAATTTAGAAAAAAATAACTGTAAATATTTTAACCGAAATTTACGAGACAAAAACATAGACGAAAAAATTAACAGTTAATATTTTAACGGAAAGTTGCTATAAAAATACACAAAAAAATAACCATCAATAAAAAATATTACCGTCAATATTTTAACAAAGAATTACGATAAAAAGACACAGCCGAGAAAAAATAACCGTCAATATTTTAACGGAAAATTGCGATAAAAGACAAAAACATAAAAAGTAACCGTTAATTTTTTAACGGAAAGTTGCGATAAAAAGACATAACTGAAAAAATAACCGTCAACGAAAAAATTAACCTTCAATATTTTCACGAAGAGTTGCGATATAAAGACACAATCGAGAAAAAATAACCGCCAATATTATATCGGAAAGTGGCGATAAAAAAACACCACCAAAAATAACCATCAACAAAAAAAAGTAACCGTCAATAATTTAACGAAGTGTTGCGATAAAAAACACAACCGAAAAAATAACGGTCAATATTTTAACAGAAAGTGAAGATAAAAAGACACAACCGAAAAAGTATTTGTCAACGAAAAAACATAACCGTCAATATTTTAACAAAGAGTTGCGATAAAAAGATACAACTAAGAAAAAATAACCGTCAATATTTTAACAAAGGGTTGCAATAAAAAGACACAACCGAGAAAAAATAACCGTCAATATTTTAATGAAGAGTTACGATAAAATATACAACCGAGAAAAAATAGTTGTCAATATTTTAACAGAAAGTTGCGATAAAATGACATGGCCGAGAAAAAAATAACTGTGGATATTTTTACCAAATGTTACGATGAAAAGACACAACCTAAAAAATATCCGTCAACGAAAAAAATAACTGTCAATATTTTAGCGAAGAGTTGCAATAAAAAGACACAACTGAGAAAAAATAACCGTCAATATTTTAACGGAAAGTTACGATAAAAAGACATAACTGAGAAAAAATAACCATCAATATTTTAACGGAAAATTGTGATAAAAGACGGAAACGAAAAAAATAACCGCCAATATTTATCGAAAAGTTGCGATAAAAAAGACACAACTGAAAAATAACCGTAAACAAAAGTAACTGTAAATATTTTTAAAGAATAGTTGCGATAAAAAACAGAACCGAAAAAATAACCGCTAATATTTTAAAGAAAAGTTATGATAAAAAGACGCAACCGTTGAAATGTGCAAATGACATTTATTGAGATTGCTATTATATTTGTTTTTCCATGATATCACGTAAATGTTAAATGAATGATATAATTAAGGAGGTTATACTACTAAATATATCCATATGTAAACTATGAAATAAAACCAATTTTATATGTAGTTTATTGGTTTACGTAAGAAGAAATTTAATAAAACAACATGACCATACAAAAATAACTGTAAGAAATATTTAAACGAAAGGTTACAATAAAAAATGCAACCGTTCAGATGTGCAAATGGTATTTATTGGAAACGATATAACCGTAAAAAAATAACCGATTAAAACGAAAATTGTGATAAAAAGAAGCAATCAAAATAACTGTAAAAAATTAACCAATTTAAACGAATGATTGTGATAAAAAGATGCAACCGTTGAGATATGCAAATGATATTTATTAGCAATAGATGGTATTAAAAAAGAGAGAGAGAGTCAGAGGAGTCAAAAAGGAGACAGAAGGCAGAGAAAAGGTCAAACAAACGGCCTGTTAAACTGACTGCTTGTTACTTTATTACCTGTCACATACCAATTGCATTGCTAAACCCTTTCCCACTTACTCCTATTTTACACTATACACTATTGTGTGAACGAACCTTTTGCTTCAAATAATTGTTTGAATTTCAAATTGTACAATTTTTAATAATGGTAGAGAGAGTGGATAATAAAGGTATTAATGACAAGAAGAAAGGACTCAAACCTACGCAAACGGGACGATTTTATTTTATTTATTAATTTTCAATCCGGACGTGAAATTATCTACTATTAACCAAAAATTCACCTTAACGACAAAAGATAAATTATTTATGTCTGTATATTTCTCTTGAAAAAACCTAAATTTCTCTCATCTTCTTTCATTGTTTACGATCTGGTGGTTTTTTGTTTTCTTTCTGCTCTGTTTTGGACGCTCGTAAATTTCTGTTTTTGTCTTCTTCTTTGGATCAGATAAAACTTTTTCTGTTCTTCTGTTGAGCTTAATTCTCTCGGCTGAGTGATAGAGCAACTAAATCAGAGTTGAGACAAAGAAAAAAAGCTTCAGGTCTCTCCCGTTTTTCTTTTTGTCTAACCTAGCTCCTCCTTTTGTGTTTTTCTTTCCTGTTACTACTATTCAAACTATCATGTATGATTTGTGAATTTTCAGTGTAACAAAACAAAAGATTCCATTTTTACTTGAAATTCGAAATCAAGTTTCCATTTTTACGACTTTTAGCTTTTTGGCTTGCTTGTAACTGCAGTTAAGCATAGGATTTCAGAATGGAAACAAGCGACAGAATTAGCTCTGGTGGTGTTATAGGAGCAGAAGCTCCGAGGCCTTTAGAGAGTCCTTGTAACCAGTTTATGCCTTCTTCAGGGAAGAAGAGGAGAGGCAGACCTCGTAAATATGGTGAAGCTAATGGTACTCCTTTGCCTTCTTCATCAACTCCTCTTCTGAAGAAACGAGCAAAAGGCAAGCTCAATGGTTTTGCTATCAAGATGCATAAGACCATTAACTCTTCTGCTAAACTAAGCATTCCTTTTATCTCTTTGATTATTAACATTACTTCATCTTTTCCATCAAGTTATGAAATACTATTGACCTGCCAAAAGCTTTCATGCTCCTTGAATTTTGAACATATATAGAGTTAATAATTGCATATATCTATTCAGCTTTCATTACTAATTCTTGTATAGAGTAAATCATTGCATATATCTATTCAGCTTTCATTACTAATTCTTGTATAGAGTAAATCATTGCATATCTACCCACAACTGCTAAAAGTTTCTCAAGAAGTAGCATACGAGCTTTGACTCTGTTGAGCGAGTGGCTATTATATTTGTTTCAAGATTGTAACTTTGAATCATCATCTTGCTCTTGCAGGTGAAAGGTTTGGCGTTGGTGGTGGTGCTGGATCAAATTTCACTCCGCATATAATCACAGTGCACACTGGTGAGGTATATATTAAGAAAAACAACAAAGGCTTTAGATGGATATTTTTTGTGTTTGTTTCCTACTTAGCAACAACTCTGTTTGTTTTGGGTTGATTCAAGGATATTACTATGAGGATCATCTCCTTTTCACAGCAAGGACCACGAGCTATTTGTATTTTATCAGCAAATGGAGTGATATCAAACGTCACTCTTCGCCATCCCGAATCTTGCGGTGGTACTCTCACCTACGAGGTTTGTCTCTCACACTCCATATAATCTTTTCAATGAAAGTGAAACAGAGTATCTTATTATAGGGTGTTGGTTTCTGGCAGGGTCGCTTTGAGATACTGTCGCTGTCTGGTTCTTTCATGGAAACAGAGAATCAAGGTTCAAGAGGACGGTCTGGTGGCATGAGCGTATCTTTGGCAGGTCCTGATGGTCGTGTTGTCGGCGGTGGTGTGGCCGGCCTGCTCATTGCTGCCACTCCTATTCAGGTGTCCCATGAATCCAACAACATTTACATCAATTCTTGAAATTCTGTCTGGTCTCATCAACTTTGTTTTTCTTCTTAAAAACAGGTTGTTGTTGGCAGTTTTATAACGAGTGATCAACAAGATCATCAGATACCGAGGAAGCAAAGAGTAGAGCATACCCCTCCAACGGTAACGTCATTGCCTCCTCCTCCGGCTTCAGTTTTTTCATCGACAAACCCAGAGAGAGAGCAGCCGCCATCCTCATTCGGCATCTCCAGCTGGACCAACGGACAGGACATGCCGAGAAACTCAGCCACTGACATCAACATATCTTTACCAGCCGACTGAGTTTGAGTTTCCAGATGGAAGATTAGGTTTCAGATTAACTCTCTACTGTCTGTACAATGGTTAGGACTTAGGAGGATTGTTGAAGCTAAATGTTATCGTACCCTTATCGGATTGTCGAGGCTGAATGCTACTGTACGCTTTCTTTTAGAACAACCTGAGCTTCTTCTACTTTTAGGGTAACTCTCTCTCTGATGACTTACTTCTTGTTATTATACTATTCCTTTTAACTGCGGATTAGTCTGCGTTTTTCCCTTTTTGTTGATTTCTTTATTGATGTTTTACACTATTAAGTTACACATAAGTTATGAATGTACTTTATACAATAATATGGGACTTTTAAAGATCCTTGATGGAACAAAAACTACAAAGACAATTCAATTAACAGAAGGTTAGAAGTTAGAACTGCAACATGCGTTAGTTCACATTTAAAAGTTAAAACCAATCCAATTTGTAACTTAAAATATTATGGGAAATTATCTATAAAAACCATCATGCATATCATATGTTACCTCAGTGAAACATCAAACGATGAGGGGTGGAGTAATTGTAACATGTTTCTTGATAATTCTGATAACTGATGTTGCCTCAATGGTTTTTGGAAATGAAATGTGTGATGAAACGCCGCACCCGAGTGAATGCAAGACTCTGCTGATTGAACACAAACCCATAAGAAGCACTAAACAGTTCTTGCAAGTGTCCGTAGAACGAACACTAGATGGAGCTGTCAAAGCCAAGAGCGACACGTACTCTCTTGGGCCACAATTTGGCTCAAAGCAAGCTTGGGAGGACTGTATGGATCTGTACGAGCAGACTATCCACAGGCTCAACCAGAGTGTGCTGTGTCCCAAGAACGCGTGCTCTAGATCAGACGTGCAAGCATGGCTCAGCACCGCACTCACCAACCTAGACACATGTCAGGAAGAGATGTCAGAACTCGGTGTCTCGTCTCATTCCTTGGAGAGCATTACCATTGATGTCATTAACACCTTGGCCATCAACAAGGTAGCTCCGAAATTATTACGAACCAATCAAAATTCTCAAAACCCTCTTTAATATCAAGCATGTTTTGAATGTGAAAACCTACGTCAATAATTCAATCGTCGTTAATTGATTTTTTTTTATCTGATAAAAAACAGAGGACGGAACCAAACGGGAAGGTGTTTGGGGTATCGAAAGTAACAATGAAAATACCGTCTATAGGTAAAAAAGTGGATGTAGTGGTGGCTCAAGATGGCTCCGGGGACTACAAGACCATCCAAGAGGCCGTGAATGGTGCCGGAGAGAGGCCCAAAGGAAGCCCTAGGTATGTCATACATGTCAAGCAAGGCATTTACGAGGAATATGTCAATATAGGAATCAAGTCTAATAACATCATGATCGTTGGCGATGGTATGGGCAAAACCATAATCACCGGTGACAAAAGCAAGGGCCGAGGATTTTCCACTTTCAAGTCCGCCACTTTTGGTTAGACATTTCTCCTTAACAACTTACACTACAAATATTCGTTTCATGGCCACAAAACATCAAGCTGCATAACATGTTTGCATAACCTGACAGTGGCTGAAGGGGATGGTTTCGTGGGGCGAGACATAACGATCAGGAACACGGCAGGACCGGAAAACCATCAGGCGGTGGCTCTCAGATCGGATTCAGACATGTCAGTGTTTTACAGATGTAGCATTGAAGGCTATCAAGACACACTCTACGTCCACTCCGGTCGTCAGTTTTTCAGGGAGTGCGACATATACGGCACTGTCGACTTCATTTTCGGAAACGCCGCTGCTTTTTTCCAGAACTGTCTGATATTTGCACGTAACCCACCGAATGGAGTCAACACCATAACGGCACAGAGCCGGTTCAACCCGAATCAGACAACAGGAATCGTAATCCATAACTCCGTGGTGAAAGGAGCTCCGGGGGTACAGTTAGGAGGCGTGAAAACGTATCTGGGGCGTCCATGGAGGTCGTACGCACGGACGGTGGTGATGGGGACGCATCTTGATACGTTGATCGAACCCAAAGGATGGATCGATTGGGGTAATGTAACGGCGCTAAGCACGTTGTACTACGGGGAGTATCAAAACTTGGGACCGGGTTCGGGTACAGAGAACCGGGTTGATTGGGCCGGGTTTCACGTGATATCTGATATCAATGAAGCTCGACAGTTTACGTTACCCAAATTCATCGACGCTGCTTCATGGTTGCCACCTACCAAAGTGCCTTTCACCATCAATCTCTAATAACATACTAGAACTCATTTTTGTAACGTCCATCAAAGTATAGATCTAAAAAAGGCCCGTTCGATTTTTTTCTTTCTATTAGAGCCCACATGTTGGCATTTTACACAATATAGCCTTTACTGTTTCTTCTTCTGTTTTTGTTTCCTCTAATAAACTTGTAATATTCTTTTGGGTTTTGTCTTCTTATCAACAAATTATATGATTTCTGAATTGAATGATCTTTATTAAAGAATACAAAAATAAAATCCTATAAGAATGTGCACAAGAGGTATATATGGAAAATAAATATCTAAGATATATTAGAAAGATACTAATTAACTCTCTTTTTAGATGGAACATTTGAGGAGACTTGGCATCGTGAAAGTGGCTTAGTTAGAAAATCCATCAATTGATCTTGAATATGTAACAAGAAAATAAACAAGATATCAACGCCTAATTAAATACTCTTTTTGTGTCTGGTTAGCTGCTCTAAACCGACTCTCAACAGGGGACCGCATGATCCACTGGAACAGATGACAGTCTGCAGCTTGTGTGCTCTGCAACAACGCACTAGAAACGCAGGATCATTTATTTTTCACCTGTGATTTTGCTTCTGCAGTATGGTATGACTTAGCAAAGAATGTCTACGGTGCAAGCTATTCCACGAACTGGCATGATCTGATGGTTTTCATCTCTGGCAATTGGAAAAATCGAATCGAAAGTTTCATTGTGAGGTACCCCTTTCAAGCAATGACACACACCATTTGGCGGGAGAGAAATGGAAGAAAGCATGGGGAAAAGCCGAAGTCTACAGCTCTCCTAATCACATGGATAGAAAAGCAAATTCGGAATCAACTATTAAGGATATGATTGATATCCTTGATTGTCTATGATTGCTTATGTCAAGGGTTCGTATATGTAAGGTTGTATATACTCTCATTCATTACACTTGTGTACCCTAGGTCTCCCTCTCCTGTATATATATTGTAGTTCTGAGAATGTAATAAGATTATCACTTCTACAAACATCTATATGGTATCAGAGCAGAACGCTCTTTAAACCCAAAAAAAAAAAAAAAAAAAAAAAAAAGAAAAAAAAAAAAAAAAATTTTCCAGCCGTCACCACCTTTGATCGCCATGGCTGCACCACAAGACAATGGTTCCAACGCCATCCCACTCACCACGACCTCTGTTCTTCATATTAATATGTCCAATGTCACCAAACTTACAAACCAAAACTACATGATGTGGGCTCTCCAAGTCCATTCTCTCCTTGATGGCTATGGCCTCGGCGGTCATCTCGACGGGACAACTGCTGCTCCACCAGCCACCGTGACAACTGCCGCTGGTGATGCTGAGAATCCAGACTTCGTTCGCTGGAAACGTCAAGACCGACTGATATACAGTGCCCTTATTGGTGCTCTGTCCACTCTCGTTCAACCCGCTGTCTCACGCACAACCACTGCCTCGCAGATCTGGAAGAAACTAGCTTTGATCTACGCCAACCCAAGCCGTGGCCACATCAAAATCATCAATAATCAGATTGACAACTACACCAAAGGCACCAAGACTCTTGAAGAATATGTTATGGGCCTGATAACGAAATTTG